CCATCCCAATTTGATTCATTAATGAAAACGCTCTACAATAAGACCGGCTAGAACTCGATAGAACTATTGACTGAATAGATGAACAAATCACTATTTCATTGAATGAGCCATTTCATATTATCATGAATAAATTATCACAAATTTTTATATAAATTGGTTAATATTTAATATAAGAAAACAAATTATCAAAATTTTGAAAAAGTAAGATCTCTAGCTTTCTAATTTGTTCTCCAATCACATGCTTACATACAATTATAAAACAAAAATTAAAATAATTATAGCATTAGAATAAATATATATTGAAAATTATATAAGATATTTCTTATGTCTATTTTATATTTCATAAAATTATTATTTTTATTTTTGTCGTATATTTATATCATTATTATGTAATCTAAATAATTTTCAAATTTTTAGATGGCAAAGAAAATTCTTAACACTTCACTCTTTCAAGAGCTTTTTTTTATTTTTTTATTTTTTTTCTAATTAAATAAGGTAAATTTTAGCAATTAAAAAAACCCACTAACATATTATAATGCCAAAAACTTATAATTATATAAAAAATCCATTATACTTTTAAGTATTTGAAAAAATGGAAATTATAATATATCACTTTGTTAACTATGGTGCATTACTTTTGGCTTATTGTCTTTGCTGGCCATAAATGCCTAATCATCATCAAAAATATAATTTGCTATTTTTCAGTCACTTTGTCTTAGCAAATGCATTACCATCAAACTAATTTAAAAATATTTAATTCCTATTATTTTATGCAAAGATCTGCATAATGTACCTTAAGTGGAATTCAGGGTATGTTTAATTGCAATTTGGGCTACTCTAAGATGCATGAATTATATTGTTTTATTATTAACAATAAAAAATGATTGGAAGATAATACATTTTTTAATTTAGTAATAATTTAATTTTTTTTAAGTTATCAAATATGTGGTGATGAAATGTAACAAGCTAAATGTTAATGATAAATAAAATGATATCATAATCATTAAGCTCATGAATTTATCAGTATGTTTTTAATATAATTTCTAATGATACTTTCAAAATACCAAAATGGAGGCTCTAAGGCTTAGGGGTTATGCTCTTGTTAGGTATGCTATCAACAAACAATCATTCTATGGTGATCTTCTCTTTGTTGTTAAAAGAATTTGGCACTTGGAAAGTTCTCTTAAACTTCTTTTTCTATCAAATGAATTCTTCTTGTTTTAAATATCTTATCTTGAAGATTTGGATATGATATTGAATAGTGGTCATTAGTTCCTCATGAAAAGCCTTTCATCTTTGTATGTTGCTATCCAAACTTTTGTTTTCATTAAAGAAGACTTCAAGGATCTGTCAGTTTGGGTTAAAATCTTCAAACTTTCTCTATGTTGTTGGTCGGAGTATGCAATATTAAAATAAGAATGCAAAATTGGGATTCACGTGACTATTGAACATTGATCGCAAATCAATCTCGCCTAACATTTTCCCAAGTCACCATCCAAAGCAGTAACTCCTCTGAGCTTCCTGATGAGATTGATATCAACATATATGGAAAGAATGTACAACTTTTCATATTTATGATTGAAAGTTGGATTGTGACACTTTTGCCCATGATAAATTTTATTATCCTAAATCTACCAATAGCATGTGTCAAATCCTTCAAGCAACCAACCAACATGCATAACTGACATAAAGGGAGGAGTCAATGCCATCATCTTCTGCATACAACTAACCAACCATGATGTAACTTACAAATGCCATAATCGTTCATTCTTCTAACATTTCTCTCACCTCCACCAACCCTATAATGACGCACAATCTCAACATCCTTTCATCAAAATCTATTATATTTTTTCTTTTGAACCTGCTTTTAATCCAAACAAAAATATCCCCACTAATGCCTCCTTGGTAGACTTAATCTCTACTAACCCTACCCCTAATAGCTCTTATGTTATGTAAGGTCCTTTTGAAACTATTACTGAGGGCATCTCAACTTCTCGTCCCTCCCACCCCATTGCTCAACTTGGTCTTCTTGGCAACCAACCTCTAGATATCAATCAAATCTTCCTCTATAACCCAGGAATATATAATATCATCTCCAAAGCCCTTCTATCAGCAAAAGTTCGAAAACTAAGTAAAAGGGAGGGTCCCCAAAATCTTAAAATATCCAAGAACATATTTCATAACATTATTTTAGGGAATGTTGGAAGGGTGAATGGTGATGGTAGTGTTAGATTTATGTTGTAGGACTCTTCTAATTTCAACCAAGTCAATTGCAGTCTTTTCGACTACCATAGCGCTCCAACTACAATTCACAACCTCTATTGCCCGCTAACTACGATCACCGTCACTTATAAGATCAATACATCCTGTCAACAATAATTCTGACTCTTAACTTCAACACTTAGATTTATGCTGAGGATTCTTCTAAATTCAACCAAGCCAAATATTTTATAGCAATACCTTCCCCCGAGGAAGGGCGTCATTTGCAATCAATACCAAATAAAAAAGTAATCATTTCAACAAAGCCAAACCTTGCGAGTTTTCACATTCTTGAATTTCACATAAAATTTTTAGTATTTCTTACAATTCTCACATCGCTCTCTTTATCCATGCATGTGTTGTATCTTCATGCAAAACCAAAATACTAAATTGTCTAACTCTTTATCTACACAAATATTATAGCGTGTAACAATTTATCTATGAAATAATATTTATTTTTCCACACAAGCGCTCCTCTTCTCGGTGGCATATATGACAAACAACACCACTTTTTTTTTTCCTTTTTTGCATAATTTATTCTTTCCCCAAAAGAAAAAAATTTAGCCTCAATGCCAATTGTGCGATTTATTCCATCTCACACGTAAGAGATTATTACGTGTGGAATTCAGACCAAAGTTGTATCCAGTTTTTGTGAGTGTGCGCAGTAAAAGCATAGTGGTGAATAGTAACTACACTTTTACAACGTTTTTACTATCCACACTCACAAAAATTAAACGATTCTCCGTTCTGAACTCCACACGCAAACTCTCGCCAGCGTGGCAAAGAAGAAAAGGCTATATTTTTTTCAGCTTTGTTGCGTCCTGGAATATTTGCAGCGGTAGAGAAATATAAAGTTTAATGTCTTAACATTGCACAAAGATCAAGCACACAATCAGATAAGAGATAGGGGTAGCGTTCATAAGAGACATTAGAGTTTTTATGTGGAAACCCCTGAAAAGGGAAAAAAACCATGGGGTCTGACCCAGTTTGAATGAATCCACTAGTATTTACAATCGATTACAAATGAGGCCATTCCTAACGAGAAGAACTTGACCTGATGTCACAAATGTACCTCATATATAGCACATTATATGGTGAAAATTACAATAATCAATATAGACATTTGTTTGGTTCGAAGGGCTATAGCCGACACGAGACATGGGTCTGAAAGACTATATTTGGTAGGAGACCAGGGTCAAAAAAAGAGCGTTGTCTGGTGATGGAGGTCGTAAGGACCGTAGTAGGCAATGGAGATAAAAAATAACATAGTCGATATGAGACATGGGTCCAAAAGGTTATAGTAGTAGGGCAGTACTCCGGTAGAAGTTTGGGCATCAGGTAATGGTCCGGCAGAAGTCCGGGCATCAAGTGGTGATCCAAGAAAAGTCTGGGCCTCCGATGGTGGTCTGGCAGAAGTCTGGGTCTTAGGTGGTGGTCTGGCAAAAGTCTAGGTGTTAGGTGGTGGTCTGAAAGAACTTTGGGCGTCAAGTGGAGGTCTGACATAACTCTAGGTGTCAGGTGGTGCTCTGACAGAACTCTAGGTGTCACGTGGTGGTTTGGTAGAGCTCAGGGCCTCCAGTGGTGGTCTGGCAGAGCTCAGGGCTTCAAGTTGTGGTTCAGTGGAACTCACGGCCTCAAGTAGTGGGCCGGCAGAACTCAGGGCCTCAAGTGGCGGTTTGGTGGAGCTCAGGGCTTTAAGTGGTAGTCCGACGGAGTAATAACATCAGACAGTGTTCCGACGGAGGTAAGGACATCAAGTGATGGTCCGGCGGAGCAACAACATCTGGCGGTAGTTTGGCGGAGTTGAGGGCCTTAAGTGGTGATCCGGTGGAACAACGACATGAGGCGGTGGTCTGACGGAGGTGGTCGAGGAGGAGCTTCTTCCTTTTCTTCCTTCTCTTCTTGCTTCAGTCTCTTCTTCTCTTCTTGCTTGGATCCTCCCCTTTCAAGAGAAAGGAGGGGTCTATTTTATAGATTTTTGGAGTGGCATGACTCATAAATAGGTGAGAGATCAAGGGTAAATAGGGAGTGGTTGGATGGACGTACGGCCGATGTTCAATCCCTTGATCATGAACCGTTTAATGGGCATTTGAATATCATAATGATGTTGAAATTCAGTGATCTTGGGCTCGTTGGATTTGTCTCGTCAAGCCGCTCGATTCGACTATAAGCTCGTCATGTTTAAAAACCATTTGGTAATCCAAATTGTGGTTTGAACCCTCTAACAGCACTTTGCACCCTTGATTTGGACCCATTCGGGCTCGAATTGAGTCGATTTTGGTGTCGTTGGATTTGTATTTCCGAGACGTTCAGTTCGACTATAAGTTTGTTGAAATCGGAGTCCGGATGGTCCCAATTTTAATTTCGAAAATTTCAAACTTGCTTTTGCTTCGAGATTCGTGCCCGATCCAGATAATTTTTTGATGCCGTATCAAGCTTCAAAATGAAATGTCCTGAAAAAATTTGCCCATCTTAAAATTCGCTGATAATAATTCGCTAAAATTTCCATGTGAAAAACTGACCACATTCATTAATCGCTTAGCTGCCGGTCTCGGCGTTAATTTTGATAAATTTATGAAAATAAATAAATGTTACAGAAAGATACGTTAATCCGATTCCTGGTGCCTTTCTCCTCTTGGCACCATTCTCCGATCCCAAGCTAGCGGAAGCGATTGGAATATATCCTCTGCTTATAAAAGAAAAGAAGCTCACTTTACCCTTCACCCCCCTGAAGAGCTTGGGAAAGGCGGAAACCGAGCTAAATGGCCCTCCGTTTAGCTCAAAGCTACCTCCTTTCCCAAACACGTTACCCCGCCGGCGCTCCTGCGCATCTCCGCCGATTTCTCCAAAGCCGGCCGATTCCCCGCCCAGCAATTCCAGCCCCCGACCGCCCCTCTCTTCCGTTGGGAGATGAACTAATCAATATGATTCGGGGCGTTAACGCCAACCGATTTCCTAACGATCTTTTCCCGCCGGAGATGAACGCTGCGGTAATGGAAACTCGTGGGTGGATAACGGCGGCGGAGGTGAAGAAGGTGATGAGAGCAACGGAGATGGAGGCGGTGAAGTCGCGGCTGAACTCTATTCCACAGAGCCACATTTCCCAAACGGAATTCCTCTCCATCTGCCGCCATCTATCGAGCACGGAGGAGAACGCGGCAGCCATTGCGCGGTCGCTAGATGAGTGCGGCGTCGTTATTGCGTTTGGAAATCTCGTCTTCCTCCGCCCCGGCGAGTTAACTACTCTGCTCTTCTAAAAACCTAATTTTTTCCGCCAACGAAATTTAACTTGTTTAAAATTTATGTTTTAATTGAAGAAATGCATTAAAACTAAAAAATACGTTCTGTACTTGCTAAAATCATAGAAATATAACCAATTAACAATGCTTTTAAAATCTGACCGGTCAATGAACAGGAAGAAGAAGGGATTAGTGGTTTAATGGTTCGATCGGGGTTGAATCTGATGATGTAATAAATAATAAAATTAATATAGTAATATGACGATCTAACCTTAAACTTAAACACTAATTCATCCTAAAATACAAATCAAGTATCTATATTAAAAATAAGTTGGAGTTTATTTTATAAATAATATAATTCATATTTAAAATAAGATTAATTCACATATATATGTTTTTAAATTTAATATAAATAGTTTATAGTTTCTAATTTATTTTATATGTTTAGATATACTTTATACTTATGAAAAGTATCTAAATTAACTAGTTGAACCGCTGGTTCAAGCCGGTTTGTGGCTAAAACGGTTTTTACAAAATTCCAGACCGGCCAGCGGACTAGTTCACGTTTCAATCGGTTGAACCGGCTGGTCCGGTCCGATTTTTAAAGTATTGCCAATTAGACTTTATTAAGTCAAACCAACTTATGAGCAATAATCTAGATTTACATTAATAAATAACTCTAAGCTAAACTGAATGAGCTAATAAGTTAATTTGAGGTTTTGTTTGAAACAATTTTTTATTATTTTTTAGAGTAGCTTTTTAATACAAATATTATTTGAAGCAGAAATTTTTGTATTAAGAAATAGTTTTAATATCCCAATTCTTCTTTGATTTAATTTTTTTACTCACGAGCTAATTCATTTTAAAAAAATGTTAATATTAATAGGGTTCAAAGATATAAAATTTCAATAATTTCAGTATAAAATTACTAAAAATATTTAGAAATTATATTTCTCTATTTTATTTCATGTGATATTTCGTTATTTCTCATTAAAATTTTTAGTCTTTTATTTGTGTTTTCTAATAAATATGAATAAGAATCATTTTTTCTCTTTTATAATAATAAAATTTGTTCATGAGTTGGCTTAAATTTCTAAAATTGTGCTCGAGGTTGAGCTCATACTCAAGCTCCATTAATTAATCCAACTCAAGCTCATGATGACTCCAGTCCGGCTTGGCACGTTTATATTATTAAAATTGATAATTTCTAAGGATTTATGTACTTATAATTTTTAATTTTTTAATAACATATATACAAATAAGTTTTATTTTAATTTTTTAATTATTTCAAGAACAAAATAAAGAACAAAATTTAAATGCCTAAAGCTTCCCTAAAAACATGAAGATCAATATGAATTCAAAATTATAATAGATATATAAATGAAAATCATATGATTCTAATCTGTAAACAAATTCAAAAATAAAAAAATATTTACCAAAAAATATTAAATATATAACTAATAAACTTAATATTATTTAAAATTAATTATAATTCACTCATAGGAAATCAGAACTTAAGACTGAAACCAAAACCACCATAATTACTAATTACAACATTGATTCCATCGTTCTACTTTTTCTCATTGCAGGTAGTGAAAGCAATTGGTAAGGTGATCCCAACGCCGTTCACCAAACAGCAGGATCAAACAGCGAAGGAGCTGAAGGAGATGGAGGCGAAGAAGGCGGAGATAGACAAGAAGGCCGTCGCCGGCGTGCGGCGAGAGCTCTGGTGCGGGATGGGCTTTCTGGCTGCCCAAACGCTAGGGTTAATGAGACTGACATTCTGGGAGCTTTCATGGGACGTGATGGAGCCGATTTGCTTCTTTCTGACTTCTGCTTACTTCATGGCTGGCTACGCTTTCTTCCTCAGAACGTCGAAAGAGCCCTCCTTTCAAGGCTTTTTTGAATGCCGATTTGCCGCAAAGCAGAAGCGGATAATGAGGAACTGTGGCTTTGATTTGAGCAAGTTTAATAAGCTTAGACTGAAGGGCTGCTTGTCTGAAAGCTGTATTTAAGAATTCAAAGAGGATTTTTGAATCCTGCAGATCCGAATTTAGTAAATTCTCTGAAAATTACTAAAATTTTGATGAATCTTTTGGCTATTTATTTCAGAATTTAAGTGTGTTAGTCTTCAACTCATTTAACTCATTGTCTGCAGGCTTTTAACTTATTGTTTGAGATTATAATTAGTGTAAGAAACAATCTAATTAATCATTAACTAGTTTAATAAATTATGATTAATATAAATTTTAATTATTTTTATTAATTAATGATTATTTAGAATTGATAATTTAGCAAATTAATTAAATAATAATTTATGTTTAGCCAATTCGAATAAATAATAGTATTAATTTACTTAAGAAAATATCCTTTTAGTTAACAAATATTTATTAATAGAGAAGATTTATTTTTTTAATTAATATATTGATATCTAATTTTTTTAATTGCATGGTTATAATTTTAATTAATAACTTGTTGTCAAAGAAAATTAAAATAATTACATTATACTTAGTGTAAGATAATGTATCAATTAAGAATTGTTTAATATTTAATATAACTAATTATATAAAATATTTTATTTAATTAAATTAAATCACAAATAATAATTTAATCAAATTAATTAATACAAATGATTAACTCTGTCTTAATGTATGAACTTATGGTAACTAACATACCTATTTTTTGAGACTCTCCTATTTCTCAACCTTCTACATGTAATCTTAACTTTCTTTCCTCTGCGAGTGCGCGTATGGCCCTAAATCTCATAAATCCATAATACTCCTCGGTTTAGTAAATCTGAGTGTTGGCATAAAAAATGCAATCACTTCCAAATCAAGTTTACATAAGAGAACATCCATCTAGAGGTATTCATGTAATACTTAATTTGTCACTTGCCCTCCATGAAGGAGTAGTTACTCACATCTATCTATGACAGAGCATCACAAACCATGCTCATCAGCTCAGCTATAAGAGCTAGAGCATCCATCCAAAAGGATTTAGCTCACCCATCATAGTCCATCTACCATAAAGTTTGTCGCCATTGTAACCTAAACACACTTGCCCCCTCCCCCAAGGTAACATAGAGCTCCATCACAAGGCCACAAGTGGCTTCGAGACATTAGCCATCAATAACCCTCTCAGCTAAACACTTGCCAACTGACTCGTGCCTCCCCTACTTACCCTCAAGCTCTCAATAATATGAGGATTGCCCCGAGACAATGAAACAAGATTAAGAGAGCAGTCATCCTGATGCAGCGGCAGCCATGAGAAGAACCTGAATGGAAAAACCAATAAAACAGTAACTGGAGAATAGGTAATAATCTTTTGTAGTTCTTATATATTTCTATTCTTCTGTTGTAATGACATATATAGATGCCAAAACCCTGTTGGGCAAGATGGACGCTAAATAAAGGGAAGCAAACTCTAGAAGAGTATGATACTAAGTATAACAGGAAAAGTAAATAACATAAATAACAGAAATAAGGAGTAGTGTCCTTTGAGCTTGCAATGCATGTCGACATGGCTCCCTAATAAGGAGAAGGCCACATCAATCCTCCCTCGCTCCAGAGAAGCTCAACTCCGACGATATGTCTATTGGCTGACCACCATCAGGGGGATGGTAACTGTATATATCGGCGACATTAAAAGTGTACGACATCTGAATGTCCGGTGGGAGGTCGATCACATACGCATTATCATTAATTTTGTGTATAATTGGGAATGGGCCGATTTTCCGGGGACTAAGTTTGGAATAAGTTCCTTGTGGGTACCATTCTCAATGCATTCGTAACATCACCAAGTCTCCGGTGTTGAAGACCTTGTGTCGCTGATGTAAGTCAGCCTCTTGCTTTTACTTTCTTGTGTTTCTTGAAGCTTTTCCTTGACTGTCTAAATAGTTTCTTGAACTTGAGTAATGTCTTTATGTACTAGTAGCTGACTGCTTTTTTGGAGAATAGTGGGATCCACTAGGTGGTTGGGTTGCTTAGAATATACTATTTGGAAGGGACTGCAACCTGTGGAATGGTTAAACATCAAACTATAAGCAAATTCGGCATGACTAAGGTGCTCTTCCCACCTTTGTGGATTATCTTGAACAAGACAACGTAACAGTTGCCAAGAGTTCGGTTGACAACTTCGGTTTGACCGTCTGTTTGCGGATGATACACTGAGCTCAACTTAATATCAGTGTTCAATCTTTTCCATAGTTCTCTCCAGAAGTGACTAGCAAATTTTACATCACGGTCCGAGGTCAAGCTACGAGGTAACCCGTGTAGCCGAACGAACTCTTTGAAGAAAAGTTGGGCAATGTTGACTGCATCGAACGTCTTATTACAAGGGATAAAATGTGCCATTTTGGAGAATCGGTCAACAACGACCAAGATGGAGTCAACCCCCCGCTTCATTCATGGTAACCCCAATACAAAGTCAAGCGTTAAATCCTCCCAAATAAAGTCGGGTATCGGAAGAAGTAGATAAAGACCGACATTTTGGGCAGTACCTTTATTCCTTTGGCAAACAGAGCATTTTTTCACAAATCTGGTAACATCTCGGTGCAAATGTGGCCAGTAAAAATGAGATTGCAACAATTCTAAAGTTTTATCTTTTCCTGTATGAGTTGATAGTCCCCCGCAGTGGAGCTCCTTTATTAATTGAGGCTTCCAAGAAGAGTGGGATGCATAGGCTATTACCTTTAAACAAAATCCATTATGAAGAGTGATGTCTTGTTGGGGCTATCCAGATTTATGAGCATCCAAAATTTGAGCAAAATCCTTGTCTTCCTCATATAACTCTTGCAACAACTATAATCCGGTGATCTCTGTTTGAAGATGCGTCAATAGAGCTGAATGCCGATTCAGTGCATCAGCAACCCGATTAGATCATGCAGTCTTGTGTTTGATTAAAAAGCTGAATCGTTGGAAAAAGACAATCCAATAGACATGCATTCTGTTAATGTTCTTCTAATTGTTGATATATTGGAGAGCCTGGTTGTCGCTGCATAGAACAAAATCCCGGTGGAGCAAGCAGTGCTCCCATTATTTGAGTGCCCTCACTACCACATACAATTCTTGCTCATACATTGACCACCTCTGCTAAGTAGAAATGAGCTTTTCACTGTAGTATTCGACGGGTTTTTCATCTTGGGAGAGGATGGCTCCGATGCCGACGACAGACACGTCGGTGTCCACTTGGAACGGTTTGTCAAAGTCAGGGAAGGCTAACATTGGAGTTGAACTGAGAGCCTTTTTTATTTGTTCAAAAATTCTCTGTTGCAATGCCGTCCAGGAAAATAAGGTGGCCTTAAGGAAATTAGTGATATGGGCCATTATGTCACCAAAATTCTTGATGAACAGCCTATAATAATTAGCCAAGCCATGAAAGCTCCTCACATCCATTAATGAACCATAGGCCAATCCTGAATTGCCAAAATAATATGGGGTGCGGTTTTGATCCCTTCCGGTGTTAGGACGAAGCCCAAAAAATTGACGCTGATAACACCCAGCTCACACTTTGATAAATTGAGGAACAACTGATTGCTGCGAAGTGCTTCTAGAATGGATTTTAGATGGCCTAAGTGATCCAATATAGTAGAGCTAAACACTAAAATGTCATCAAAATACACTATGCAAAATTTGTCTAAATATGGCTTAAGAATGTCATGCATAAGTTGCATAAATATAGAGGGGGCATTACACAACCCAAAGGGCATAACCTTCCATTCGAATAGTCCATCCACCATTTTGAAGGAGGTCTTCCATTCATCCCTGGGTCGGATAAGAAATTTATTAAAGCCGCTCCTCAAATCTAGTTTGGAGAAAATAGTCAAACCAGCAAGCTTGTCCAGGAGATTGTTAATCCTAGGAAGTGGAAACCTGTACTTAACGGTGATGTGATTAATAGCTCTACTGTCGATGCACATGTGCCAATGTCCATCCTTTTTGGGAACAATCAATGCTGGAATAGCGCAAGGGCTCAAGCTTGGTTGGATGAATTGTTTCTGCAATAGCTCTTGTACAATCTCCCTTAGGATGGTGTGTCCTTGCGAACTCATATGGTAGTGTGGAAGGTCGGGCATGACAGCACCGGGTATGAGTTCGATTTGGTGTTGAATATTTCGTAGGCCATGGAGGTAATGTCGAGGGCAGCTCCAAGGCTGTGATATCACCATATTCCTCAATCAGTTGCTTCACTTCTGGAAACTGGGTTGGATCAGTCTGTTCTGATACTTCATCAACGATCAAAGCTAGCATTATGTAGTTCACCTCCTCCTTAAGTTGGAGGAGGGTATGTCCAGAGACAATGCGAGCTAATGTAAGGTTGTTAACATCTGCCTTTCCTTGAATTTGAGATGCATTGATGAATTTAATCTTTCTCCCCTTCCACTCAATAGTGTAAGTATTGGCTCTACCATCATGAATCACTCCACTATCATACTGCCAAGGCCGACCAAGAATCAGGTGGCATACGTCCATTTCTATGACGTCTCAAGTTACTTGACACAAATAACTCTTGCTAATTGTAAATGTAACCTTGCAGAATTCTGAAATAGTGAAGTCCACACCTTTCTTTACCCAGCTAATTTTGGATAGGTGAGGGTTCTTGGAAGTCTTTATATGAAGAGCTTTGACCACCGCCTTGGAAATAATATTCTTAGTACAACCACTATCGATTACAACGTCACAAACCTTACCGTTAATTGTACATTTGGTTCGAAATAGACTGTTTCTCGGAGTTTCAATTGGTTTGCGCAGGGCTAAGAGTATCTACTCCAACACACCAAGGATCGGTTCCCCCTCATCTGCTAACAATTCTTCAATTGGTTCTTCCACGTCCTCCCCAAATCCGGACCGATCCACCTCTTCTACACCTTCCATAAGCTGCACTCGATGTCTGTTGGGGCATTCATTGGACTTATGGCCTGGTTGTAGGCATTTAAAGCACTTGATAGCAGCATGTTTAGCATAGGGATTAGCTCGGCCCTTAAACCCTGGCCTAGCTGCTGTTTTAATTTCTACTG